AAAGACGAATTACTAGTCAGTGTTAGTTAATAAGTCAGAGAGTGCGAATTGCGTTGTCAAGACAGTGTCGCTAGCGTTGTCGAGACAGTGTGGTCCGCGTGAGAGAGAGCGTTGGAAATCGTGGTGACGAGAGTTGCTGTTTTATTTATTTCTGTATATAGAGGTAGGATCACAATAGCTATTAGTTTATTCTTCGGATAAATCTAACACACCGTTCTGAGCTAAATAATCTTTATTGCACTATTTTACGTGGACTAGAGATAAAAACAAAAGAATATCTTAAACCTATCGATTATATGTAGAACTATCTTCTAGTTACTGTTTATTGTAACTAGCGCATCTGCATATGGATGGCGAGAGCGAACTTACGTTGTTATTTTTAACAGTTGCAAATTAACTATATAGTTGTCTAAATCATAGTACGTTATTGTATTTAGTACACGTTAAACAGCCATCGTTTCCTGTTTAACCAACACCTTTTTAATCCATTTTAAATAAACTAATTGTAGTAAGATGCTACAATATTCTTAACAAATGCAACAATTTTCTCATCTTTTCGTAATAATATACGCATAAAAAATATTAAATTCCCATGAATCGTTTGATCGGGTTCGTTAATAAATTATCTAATTTGGAATTTTAATTTAAAATTTGTATCTCAAAGATAGTTTGAATTATCATATCGGATGCTGTATAGATTTGGAAGCAGTTTATTCCCATTGCTAGTCCTCTGCAACCCGCGTGGTCGAAGCCACTGATTTAGCAACTCCCTCGTTTGGTTTCGCGATAACACGCGCCTCTATTGACTACGAGCTAACCGTAAATTAGAGGCTAAACTTTCCGAGAGCTGAAGCTCGTCCGCCTTGTCTTTCGTTTTCTTTCCCCGCTTCCTTGCCAAGGAAAACTCGTCTCGACTTGCAACCTTTTCATACTGTACCTGTTCTACGAACCATAAACATAAACATCTACGGTGATGTCTCGCGGAGAAATAATCGACTTGACGGGCTGTTGGACAGATTTTCATTCTTGTAAACACGCGAAATATACTTTAAAAGAACTCGTCTTCTGAATTAGAAAAAGTACTTCATTATCGATTATAACGTAACGCGCATTCTTCAACATTTTTTTTTTCTTTTTTTGAACGAAACCTTAAAGAAGTTTGCAACTTTTAACGAGATAAATGATAATTTCTTCATTACTTATAGGGTGATCTGATACACGATGTAATAGTTTGAACATTTTCACTGAAAATTTATTTTATTTTTCATTTATTCTTCACTTACATCTTACGCATCAGTGTTACTATCTTGTGTAAAATTGTTGGAAATGCATAGTTTATAAGCCTGTTAATCGCAGCGTTATACCACCTCAACCACTCTATGATCTCAACGGAAATCAGGGGATCGATCTGTTCGCGGCGTCGATTATTACAATCGTAACGGGAATTTACGACTCGCGTTGACGCATTTCATCGCGAAAGCGTCTCCCTGCGACTGGTCGAAAATACACATGGTATCGGATTTAAAACTCAATAATTCAATAACTTAAAGCCCGAACAGAAACTCCAACCGCTACCATACGCGATAAACCATAAGATGGAAAATAAATCTGCAAAGGACGGAAGACCGAGTGAATTCGCGACGATCCATAGATCATCGGGAAGCATGGAAACCGTGCGAGAACGCGAAGGGGCATAAATCGATCCGCTTACTGCGCGCGCAGCTGTCCAACTTGAAAAATCGCGCGGGACGATGCGCGCGCACACGCCGCTCGCACTCTCGGGGAATTACCGCGAGATAGCGATCGCGTTTTGCCACAACTTTGTGAAAGCGTTGCTCGCTCGCGCCACGCTGGTAGGTGTATGGAAACGAGCGTGCCTCGTTTAACATCGTGACACACCACTTCCTGCATCCTCGCCTCCTCGCCGTGTCCAATTGAAATTTTCCAGCTCCACGTATAGTTTTCATTGAAAGTAGCTCGTTTTACGAGCCATAAAGTCTTCGTATCTTTTCACCTGCAGTCTTTGTCACTTCGATGTGAGAAAGTTTTGCGTAGGATTGATTACTTTGCGAATTATATCGATGGTATAGATTATATTTTTTTTTTTTTTTTTAGAATGTTTAGGCGACTGAAGTTAAGATTTTGTGGTAGACGTTTTAAAATTGTTGAATATTAGATGATCGTTCTTAGTTTGGATATTATCTTGTTTAAAGGGCATCAGTGTGCGCTGTATTCTTTACTGGTTTGATGATGAAATGTTGTATATAATGAATGGAGTAACAAGTTCGTTCGGATTTTCTTTAAAGAGCACGTCTATCTAACCAAAGAGTCATTTATTTATCCCATTCATTGGTAAATGCAGATATATCTTCACATCATATAAATGATTGTTGCAACGTTCCTCGAAATGCATACATCAATGAAAAGCTAGTTAATCTTTCTTAACATTTCTTAACGTGATCTACACTTCTCAAAGAAATGTATGTCAAACAGAACTTTAGAACATTCTACAACCAGTGAAATGAACAATAATTCGAAATTAACCATGAATTCACAATATCACAACCCATGGAATTTCGCTTATATCTGTAGCAACATTTTCATAGAAAGAAAACTCCTAGAGAGATGTAAGTTTCGCACTTTGCCATTTAAGAAGAAAACACCTGTTAGCACGTGAACCACGGGGTCCCCTGAAGAGCTTACGGGATAGATACGCTGTGTAAACGACGAGTAAATCACGCTTGTTGCAGCCGAGGGAAACACGAGACGGGTGACATTTTAAAGCCACCTTTTGCCAGCCTGTAATCCACAATCGCCGATGTTGGCTCACGAACCATCGACCTCGCCTTTATGATTTCTTCCCTCTCGAGCCGCGTCTCCATTCTGCTACGTTTCTTCCCTTGCTTCCTTTCCTTCCTTCTCCTTATTCCTTTTCTCTGTTCGTATTTTCCGCCTCTATTGTACTCTTCGTTAGCTTTTTATTGGGATTGATGGTCGGTGAAGCGTTTGTACTGCGATTCTATGACAGTGATTCTCATTGTTCAAGAATTTTTTAGATTCCTGGTCGAGACGATAGGAGTCTGAGGTTAGGGTTGAATGCCGATATAATGGAACGATTTGTTGCCTTTTTTTCGTTGGCTGATTAGGTATCTTTTTATTAACTTGGCCAGGAATCGTTTCTATTACGTTTTGAAATTATTAACAGTCGTTTTCGTTGATCTGGAATTATTGGAAATTTGTTCTGTAGTTGGTGGAATGATTTATTACAACGGTAACGAAAAATAATTTTTCTTACTTCTGAAATCATCGGCAATAGTTTCCGTTGACTCGAAAATGTTCGACAATTGCTTTCATAGATTGGTCTTACCTTAGAAACGATTGATAATCATTTCCATTGTTTGTGCATTAACATCGACCTTACCGGGCCCAGTAAAACGACCGGTTTCAAAATTTAACTTAAAATTGTACTCTGTGAACAAAGAACAAACGAGAGAGAAGAGATCGTATTTCGTTAACGTAAAAGCACATAGAAAGGCCTGATGGTCCCGTAGCTCGCCATAATCGGCCCTTCAAAGCTGAACGTTCGTTTGGAAAGGGGCAATCGCACCGGTGGGTTCATCGTTTTATGAGATCAATGGAAATTTATAGGGGTAGCCAGGGGAGTTTCGTATGGGATATGGCACGAGTTTAGCCACATTGTTCGATAGCGTTTTCTGGGGTGGTTTAACCGGTAGTAGCCACCAGAGGGGAGAATTTTCTCTAGGACGATACAAGCAAACGACCAGGCCAGGCCATTGTCTTGCAAATCCCTCGAAATTTTATTGTTCATCGACAATGTGTTTCACTCTGTTTCACTCTGACACGTCGTTCAATCGGTTACTGGTGGATCGTCCGACTTGGAAAAACGGTCTGTCGTATTATAATTGCAAAGTGTGTTCGCTGATAAATGATCCTATTGGGATACTTTGTTCCAGCCGGACCTGTAATTATGGGTTTAGCTTTATTTGAGTATTTCTATGCACCTTCATGAAAGCGAAGGTTTGATGAATTAATTGTTCCCTTTTTAGTTCTTTTTAAATACTTTTTTTAAAATTAATATTTCCATTCATTGGTGTTTCATTGGAGTTTTTCAACATCATTCAATATTTTTAATACGATTTAGTCTGTATTATTAAGTATAGTTTTAAAATATCCTGCAGTTAATTGAAATAGTTGCTGTATAATTTTATGCGCTCCTTTAACCATTAACTAAGGTCTGTTGTTATTTAACGAAGTGTCGACGAGAGAGTTAACAAATTTGCTAAGATCGTAGAAACACCTAAATTCGCGCATATGTAATCACGAATCTCACAGCCGATAAAAAGTCATTTAAACACCTACCACACAGTATGCACATGCTAACCGCAAAGCCCATAACCGTTCATATTCAATCAGCCGCGACCCACTCGTATCCATAAACCAATCTATAAATAAAATCGGACTGAATTAAACGTTCCTGCTCGATCGACTTCCACTTCTAATAAAATAAAAAGGGCGGACAATTACAGAGAAATAAAAAGAAAATCATAAACAATATACGTATAATATGAGTATAGTGTATTTGGAAGTGTAGCATTTCTGCATCATAGTTGAAACGATTAGACAGTAATGATATTTTTCTAACTTTTTTTTAATAATATACTTCTATTAATTATACACTACAAAGATATTATTATTTTCTTTAATACTAAAAAATTATATATGCAATTTCATTTATTTTAGCTGTGGAATTTAATTTCAAAAATACACGTCGAACTGCTGAATAGACTACTTATTCCGTTAATCTAAATTAAATATCCAAAATGAATTCCACGCATATATAGCATAATATTAAAAATGAAAATAATAATAATAATAAATAATTATTCAAAATTAAATGTTTGGAAATTTCATGCGTAATATAACGATAAAGACAAAAATTTGACAAGCACGTGATGAAGCAGGATCAATCGGTGTTTCAGGTATCGATCAAGCAATATGTCGGTGCTTCTGGAGGCGAGGTCTTACAGGCCCTTCAAATCCTCGGAGGAGTATTTGGTCGCGATGAAAGAGGATCTGGCCGAGTGGTTGAACGCGCTGTATCCGGAGCTGAGAATCAACGTTGACAATTTTATGGACAGGTTGGACACCGGCGTCGCTCTTTGCAAAGTAAGTGGCCGTAGAACGATTTATACGTTCCCAGAAGTACATATAAACTAGCTCCAACTGTCTATCTTCGCGCGTATGTATGAAACTATATACAGGGTAGACCTAAATAGAACCATGAAACGGATAAACTACCCTGTATGTACGACGATATATCAAAATTATGATTTATGAAAGGAAAAGTAAAAGCTAGACGCATACACATAGTTGACTATCTTCTATTTCCAATGTATTTATCAACATTCGTAAGATACGACTATTTTTTCTAGATTGCGTCAGTTGCACAGCGTAAAATTTAATACAATTTTATAATGAAACTTAATATCATAGATAAGATTCGATAAATATAATATATAGACGTGTGTGTAGGAACATTTCGTGTAAAATGAAAAATTCGAAAAAAAAAAACATTGAAAGTAGGTACACGTGCGTGGAAATTGAAGAAATTCTACGCAAATTACTATGGAGGAACGTCAATGTAAGTTTGGCGAGTAAAAATTAAGAGTTTGCCCCCATTTCGGTCAATGATCAATCTTATCTCTTATGTTTGCCAACGATAGTACCCTATTTATTTATTTCTTCTCTTTTTCTTTTTCGTTTCTTATCGCAGAAAACAAGGTGTGTTCAATTCCTCCACGACTACGAATCGTGAAGTAAAGAAAAGATATCTGCATGCACGATGGATTGAAAATGAAATAGGACGAAGGTTCGATCGTAGGATTTTGTTTCTCAGAAGTGTAACTTTTCACTCACCATGTATATATGCGTAATTTACAATTATTTGCTTTAGAGACGTATCGTAAAGCGGGTTTATGATATTGTGAGGACTTTTAGTATTTGTAGGGTGAAGGAAGTCTTGTTAAAAGGAAATTCAATTCCGTTTGGTCGTGTCGTAATTCAATTTTATTATCGTGGCATTTCCGCTTATTAAGTGATTGGTAGATTGTAATATACTTAGGATCGTGTGTTAAAGAGTACAATAGGAAAATTGTTCGTGGACAGGTCCTGTATTATTGTAGTAACAGTTTGTAGTTATAGTATTTCAGGTACATAAAAAATCGACGTATAGTAGCATAACGAAAGAATAAAGGTTTTCGTTTTATCGCCCTAACGGTTTAAATTTAAAAGGAAAGAAAAGAGGAAAATAGGGGCACCGAGTAGCTCGCCTCAGCCGCTCCTCATCGTGTCACAGAGTTTCTTGCACGCGCCGACTTGATTCATAATTCAAGTGGCGTTGAAGCAACAGCTTCCGGTGGACGTCACACGCATCCTTCTTCCTCTGTTTCACGATCCGCGACCAAACTACGTGCTCCATGCGGCTTCTATGCATTTCCATTTAACACTTCACTGTATTAGTAGCCGTATTAGTATATGTAGCTGTATCAGTATAAGTGTGTGTATTTGTTGCACGCGTCGTTTTCACGTTACTCACGCGCAGAATTTTCAAGAAGCTACTGGGAATCACGGGTTGCGAACGATCACTTCTCTCGGTCTTCTTTTTTCAATTAATAAGTTGTTTCTTATTTTAGAACGTAGCTCGAGATCTTTGAACTTTCTTAGATTCTCTTCCAATTTCGCGAGTAATTCAGCTTCCATTGAAATTATGCGAACAACGACACTTTTATTCTCATTACAAGAACAACATAAGAATAACGGTAAAGAGTAAAAGTAAGATAACAGCGTTAGTTTCCAAACTGTTAGTTCATTATCGTGTTAAATATCAAAATTTAGTAAACGTGAAATAATACGAAATACAAGATATAGCATGATATTTAACAATCTGAATCGTTACGTGTAATATTCTAGAATTTTAAATTTTAAAAGTAACAACCCTGGCCCTATCTCTCTAACAACATACAAAAATGGAAAGTGGAATTTTAATCAAACGGAGAAGAATTCCTCGAGCGCAAATTTTATTCTTCCAGATGCAATTTCGTTTGTTCCTGAACACACTCGACCGTAAAAAGTATCCTGGAAAATATCGAAACGTGAAAATTTTCGAGCGATAGATCGCTAACAGGCAAAACGGTAGCCTCATAATTGGAATTCTTGCACGAGCCAGCGCGTGGTAAAACCGTTGAACGAATTCCCCAGTAAAATAATCAAAGGTCCACATCGAGCTCTCGAAACGAGTTCTCGGCGTGCTTTTGCGCGCGATAAAGCATTTGGAGAGCAAAGGGAGAAGTGGAGACTGTCGTGGCGAGTACTGGAACCGGAGGCGATCATTAGGCCGGATCCGAATGGTCGCGAAAACCGTGAAAAATCACCGTCTGCAACTGGAATGCCGATTATTATTAACCACGCCACCATCGATATTCGTTTCTATTCTATCGCCTTTTAGTTTAGGGTTACGGGCGAATAGGCGTGCAGAACAGAAACGTTATCCGCGTTGCAAAGGGAGGGTGCTGGCTGGAAGGATCTGCGATAAATTTCACGGAATTTACAATCGAGATAAAAGGCGAATTTGCATCGGGTGGAAATAACTGGTCGTCGCGTGGTTGCGATCATAGCGGCGTAACTTAGCTCGGTTTATGGTCAACTGGGACTAGTTTAACGATACACTCGGCTACAGAAGTACGTATCATGAAGACCTGAGAATTTATCACGAGACCATCTTTTAATCGTTGCTATTGAAGTAATTAACAAAACGTCCAGGAATTATCATCTCGTTCGAAGAACTATATTCGATGCCATAAACACGTTGTTGAGTTACATGCATGTAATCTTATCGATTGAGGCACTCGTGAAAATTGAAGAGTTTATTACCAAAATATCTTTCAATCGTTATTAACAAACTAATTATCGTCTTATAAGGTCTCGAACGATTATCTTGTTTGAATATTCAATGTTTTATAAGAAGAATCTCACGATGAGTGCAGTAATACTCTCGTCAGTTTGATACGCGAGTAATATAATAATAAAATCAACTACTTTTTCCTTGTCTTGTAGCTGTCGCGTTTGTTCATTACAATTTCCATCAATTCTGACTTTCACACGAACCGTTCAGAAAATCCATCGATACCTTCGAAACGTCACAATTGTCGAATTTCATACGAAGATCATAAGTGTCTTAATACTTACGAATGGGACTGTATCTTGATCTTAATACAAAGTATAGTGGTCGAAATGTTTCCAACGATCGATACACCTATAATTGTATCATTTAGTAAGATCGTGTTCCGCGTGTTGGTTTTTCGATGTTTCCCGCTCCGGCAGCTGCTACTACAGGGTGTGTTTAAGATGAACAGATTCGATAGGTCTGAATTACTGATCGAATGGTCTCGATAAAGGTATCTAAATACACATGCATAATGTAACGAGTATGAAGTATCTGCTTTTTATCCGTCGGATATATGTACCTAAATGGGTTAAAAATTTGGATATTGAGAGATAAATAAGTTGTCCAGTTACGCAGCTTGAGTTTCTAATGATAATCATGATATTTGCATATCTTGAACCTCCTACGATGTTCATACGATTTTAACGTCGTTATTTCTTCGAAGCAACTTTTATCGAGCTTTCAGAACTTCGTTTATGTAACAGATACGCTTGCTACAATAATATCAATATCGAGGATCATTAATCAATTAATTACAGAATATAATAAGAGCATTCTTTCAATTTCCAAGAAAAGGAAAACAAACAGAAAAGACAAACATGTGGAGTTAATGATCGTTTTTGTTACGAACCCTTCAATAATAAATATTCGATCAACGTCGTCGCGGCGGGAGGGTTGAAATCCAGCCACCCCTTGATTCTATAAAATTCACGAAAATCCAGCACGATTAATTACCTCGGAGCAACGCTGTATGTAAGCTAATCGAAGCGTTCGAGCGATATGCCCAACACGATCTCGCCCGATCCTTTGCCAAATTGTCAAACTAAATGCCGAAATTGGAGCCCCGTGGCGTTGCAGCTGTTGGAAGGCTGCGTGTCGAAAGAAACACGGGCCTCGTACCTGCCGTGCACGATCGCGTGTGCCATTGAACAGCGCTGATAGAGCAGTCTTTCGTGTGTCGGATTGGCTGTCGGCAGAGCGAGCAGCGAGTAGCTGCTTCGACTTTCACTGATCTACGAGGAGTCGATCGCTGCAACTCGACTCCTCGCGAACTGTCGCGGTTACGCCGCGTAAAATCGCCGAATCAGATTCGCAATTAGGCTCTTTTTATTGGTATAGATAGACTGCGGATTTTCGTACTTTTCTGGAAGATTTGCGGATGCAAAAGTGCGCAGAATGCACATAATATACATAATATTAGAAAGAAAAGTATGTCATTTGTTGAAAGATTGTTCCATGCAGATCTCAATCGACGAATTTTGCCAAGTTGTGTGGGAGGCTATTTTGGGCAAAGAATGTTGTATACTCGATGGGTCGGTTCGTTTTCGAGATGGTGAAGTAGAATAGAACAAGTTTGTAATCAGATGCATTCCAGCTATCTAACTTTTAATGCAATTAATTAACATCGCTGTCCGGTGTAAATATTATCGACGAGGTCAATGATTTCCCTCTTATCAATAAAAAACATAATCATTATAAAAACGCGCAGCTCATATCAGTGAGTACGAGAATAATGCCCTAACTCGACGACTATCAGTATTTCTGTTTATATCTCGAAAACGAAGACGAATCGTACGTAACATGGTGCATACAGGACGTCTCAAAAATCGTTTCATGAGATTTTTTGAAATTCTTGCATTTGAAAAATACCGGTTCTCATATGCAAAACGCATATTCTCAGAAATAATATAGGTAATTGAGGTGGATGAGGAGATTGGATGACGAGATTGGACGACGATGGGCGAGGAATTGAATTAGGTTTCGATTTATTTCAATTTGTCAGATAGTTTAATAACACCGAGAATTCTAAAATATCGAAGAGATAGAACAAGTCCTTTTAAAGCTAGGTATTAATACCATACAGGAAAATTGTCGTTAAGTGGTAGAGAATGTATTATAGAACCAACTATGTACATTAGAAGGTTTCATTAATGTTAGTCCTTCC